ATTGTTCTGGAAAACATTCGTACCCTTTCCTGAACGACTCTTCATTCGTGAACATACAATTTAAACAGGAAAAAAAAAGACAGAAAATCATGTTTAAAATGAAATAAAGCTACGGATAACACATTTATTACATCTTGGACAAAATGATAAAAGTCATTATTGTTATTTTCTGTAAATGGGCGCCACCCTTGGTAGCTTAGCGGTAATCTTGATAGCTCATAACGCTAAAATTCGGTGTTTGAACCCTGCTGTGAGCATAACGTACGTAGACCATTGTGTAGTTTTGTATTTAACCAAAGCAAATACGCACGTAAAACAGATTCTCCTTACGTTTTCAGAATTTTCAACGGTGTTGCTATCGCCATCTTCTGTGCAATTTCCGAAGCTTCAGAATAATGACTAACATGATTCTTTTCAAATAACCGTTTTTTCTTTTTTAGTGTGTGTGCATAAATTAAAAAAAAAAAGGAAGAAGAAGAGAGATTCAAAAATGACCTGGGCTAATTTCCAAAAGTTTGCATGAAAAAATGCTGAAAGTGAATTATTCGCACGTGATACCCGTGGAAATTTAACCATTGTTTCAATTTTTATCTTACAAATACGTTTCTATAAACAGAAAAAAAAATTAATATTTTCAATATATACTTTCGGTGGTAACATATAGATCGCATTTTGTATTCTCTTAACGGAAAATATAAATTTATCTCTCAAGTTTATTGTTAATAGTCACGTACATAAATGGCTATCTGAGTTTTGCCCACAACGAGTATCGAAACTCGATTTTTAGCATTATTAGCTCTCGGTCTTGCGGCTGAACCACCTGGAAGCAGCTTGTAAGTAACTTTATACAGGTGAAATATCTACCCCCCCCCCCCTGAAACTATTTATCATTCATTAATGTTTTTTGTCATATTTAAATATGTATGTTACGTAAAAATGAACACTTGGGCTTGTAAGTTACTTTATACAGGTTGTTACATTATGTATGTCAAAAATCTACTTTCCCCCCTTGGGCATGTGTTATCATTAGGAAATAATTTTCGGTTCTCTTCTAGAATACATCTATTAGATCTCATCTTAAAATTTTCGAAAAATAATAGTTTCAACTCTCGAATTTCTGTTATATAAAGGGAATAACTATATGCTTAATATTTAGTATTTGTGACGTATTCATACTGTATGCGTTTAGGTAATTGCTACCATAATAATCACATAAAAAAAAGCTTTGAGTTCCTGAAACTTTTGATAAAGCTATTTGCATTATTCGTCCCTAATTTGAAAGTTATAGGCTAGAGGGAAGGCAGCTAGTTCACCCTACCCACTGTCAAGTTGTGGATTATTCTAATCGAATAGTGGTATTTGTCCGTCACTCTTATAACACATCCATGACTCCAAAGGCCGGAGCGCCATTTTTTGTTGTTGTTGTTATAGCGTGACACTAACCACTGGGCTGCACTCGACGTTTTTCGAAAGGTAATCCTGTAAAAATAAATAACTTACAAAACAACAGTTTCAAAGTGGAGGAAATAAAACGTCTCAAGGCTTTTCTAAGCAATGAAATTAATTTCACAATAGAATGAAAAAGGGTACAGTGAAATAATTCTGTATATTGCGTATCTCGCCCCCCCCAGTGGCACAACGATATGTCTTACAACGCTAGAAACCGGGTTTCGATACCCGTGGTGGACAGAGCACAGACAGCCCGTTGTGCTTAACCTCAAACATACAAACAAACTTGCGTATCTTTACGATCTTGAAAAAGTACACATATGGAAGAATACATGCAAAATAAACACTGAAATACCAATTTAAATAGTGTCAAAATGTTTTAAGTTAAAAATGTCTCAGTATTTCGAATATTTACACACCGAAGAATAAAAATATGTCTACACGCGTAATGGATTGGAAAGTAGACGTTCTAACATGCATCTTTCAGAAAGCTAACATTGGGTCTCCAAAACAAAACAGGTTTACGCCTTACTTGACACTGATGCTGACAAATAAAAGTTTCCTATTAATCGAACTTCATCACTCAACCAGGACCAAAAGGCGTGTAATGACGAGATACGTAATTTTCTGAATTTATTTTACTATTACAGTGCACAAGCAAGACAGCTAATCTGTTATAATTCTACGCCGCGTCGAAAGTTGAAACAGGAACACAAACAAAAATAGCCACTAGACTATGATAACTTAAGGGAACGAAACAAATAATGGATTTCACTAAATATCCTTCACGATTTATCTTTTCGACGTTGTTCTTCCAAACATGGGTTTGAAATTTCTACGCTGGCAAGGACTATCATTTGTAAAGATAAAAGAAAAAACAGAGATTGATATGTTCGCATAGTTCGTGGCAAAAAGAAACTTCAAATTCTGTATAGAGAGGGCTATAAACTTTTACTCTGAGCAAAGAAGTTGACCTATTACTAATCATGAACGTTCCATTCTACACCGGAGGAGTTAATCTTATTGGTATTCCAAAAACGTTATGATTGGATGGAGAGGTCGTTGTTAATTTATCAACATAAGCCAATGAATCACGGTAATACATATAATCAAAGGTATAATGTGGGTAGAGCACGTATAACACTAATCCTTACACTTATGGCTTTTTCATTAAACATTATAGCAAAGATTCAGAATAGATACCTGGTTTCTGAATCTTTATTTTCTTGTTAACTAGATCTTTGATGGATTATCCATAATCTTAGTACGGATAGTATTAGTATTGTTTAATACACAATTAAACGTTTCTTGGTAGACTTCTTTTATTATTATAGAAGCGTACTTCTTTACGAAAGAGAAACAAATAATTGTGTGGACATCATCAACTTTGACATTTTTAAAGCTTTCTTCCAGCAAGTAAGTAATGCAACTAAACTGTGATGTATACACAGAACAGAACATTATGGATTGTTTGTTTGTTATAGATTTCGCGCAAAGCTACACGAGGGCTATCTGCGTTAGCCGTCCCTAATTTAG